GTTGACTTGGCCTCCAGGTTCTCAAAAGCCCAATCCAATCAGGCATCTGTCGATGTGCTGGAAAGGACAAGTCTGATCATGGAGGTCCTACCTCACAATTTACAGGACCTAAAGGATTTGCTACTGAAGGCTTGGTGGCAGATACCTTCAGAGAGAGAGATATAGATAGATAGAGAGAGAGAGAGACAGACACTGCATCCAGAAAGTATTGACAGCGCTTAACTTTTGCCACATTTTGTAATATTACAGCCTTACTCCAAAATCGATTAAATTCATTTTTTTCCTCCACATTCTACAAACTGTACCCCATAATGAGAACGTGAAAGAAGTTTGTTTTGAAATCTTTGCAATTTTTTTAAAATAAAAAAACACAAGTACATGAGTATTCACAGCTTTTGCTCAATACTTTGTTGCAGCACCTTTAGCACCAATTAAGTCGTTTTGAGTATGATGCTACAAGCTTGGCACACCTATTTTTGGGCGATTTCTCCCATTCTTCTTTGCAGTACCTCTCAAGCTCCATCAAGCTGGATGGGGAGCGTCGGTGCACAGCCATTTTCAGATCTCTCTAGAGATGCTCAATCAGGTTTAAATGGCTGGGCCACTCCAGAACATTCACAGAGTTGGCCCATAGCCACTCCTTTGTTATGTGGGCTGTGTGCTTAGGGTGGTTGTCCTGTTGAAAGATGAACTGCCTCCCCAGTGTAAGGTCCAGAGCGCTCTGGAACAGGTTTTCATCAAGGATGTCTCTGTACATTGCTGCATTCATCTTTTCTTTGATCCTGACTAGTCTCCCAGGTCTTGCCGCTGAAAAAACATCCCCACAGCATGATGCTGCCACCACCATGCTTCACTGTAGGGATGGTATTGGCCAGCTGGTGAGCGGTGCCTGGTTTCCTCCAGACATGACGCTTGGCATTCATGTCAAAGAGTTCAATCTTTGTTTCATCATATCAGAGCGTTTTGTTTCTCATGGTCTGAGAGTTCCTCAGGTGTCTTTTGGCAAACTCCAGGTGGGCTGCCATTTGCCCTTTACTGAGTGGCTTCCGTCTGGCCACTCTACCATACAGGCCTGATTGGTGCAGTGCTGCAGAGATGGTTGTTCTTCTGGAAGGTTCTCCTCCACAGAAATGCTGGAGCTCTTTCAGAGTGACCACTGGGTGCTTGGTTACCTCCCTGGCTAAGGCCCTTCTCCTTCGATCGCTCATTTTGGCTTGGCATCCCGCTCTTGGAAGATTCCTGGTGGTTCCAAACTTCTTCCATTTATGGATGATGGAGGCCACTGTGCTCATTGGGACCTTCAATGCTGCAGACATTTTTCTGTACCCTTCCTCAGATCTGTGCCTTGATACAATCCTGTCTCGTAGGTCTATGGACAATTCCTTGGACTTCATGGCTTGGTTTGTGCTCTGACATACACGGTTAACTGTGGAACCTAATATAGACAGGTTTATACCTTTCCTAATCATTGCCAATCAATGGAATTTCCCACAGGTGGACTCCAATCAAGTTGTGGAAACATTTCAAGAATGATCAGTGGGAACAGGATGCAGAGCTCAGTTTTGAGTGTCATGGCAAAGGCCGTGAATTCTTATGTACATGTTTTTTTGTTTTATTTTTAATAATTTGCACAGATTTCAAAACTAACTTCTTTCACATTGTCATTATGGGGTAATGTTCGTAGAATGTTGAGGAAAAAAATTAATTTAATCCATTTTGGAATAAGGCTGTAACATAACAAAATGTGGCAGAGGTTGAGCGCTGTGAATACTTTCTGGATGCAGTGTGTGTGTGTGTGTGTGTGTGTGTGTGTGTGTGTGTGTTGCATTGATAACAGAACTTTGTTGACATTTCCAAGGATTCAGCTCGGAGAAGGTCACCCCGACTTTCCCTGAACATTGGCTTAATGAAATTCTCTAGGGTTGGCCGTCTAATTGTATCCTGATCAGATGACGAAGACAAAGACTTGCCAGAATCCTTCTTTATAGTCACAACAGTCTTTGGCATCAGAGGCGTTGCCTGGCAACCGCTGGAAATATTCTTTGTTCAAAAGGATAAAGTTTGAAAAGGAGGCAGTGCCGATCAAAACAGTTCATTATTGTAGGGAACATACAGCTATTTTCAGAGCGTATGGCTGGTTTCATCAGCGCCACGGAAGTCACAGCATCACGCTAAAAGCTATTGTTGAGGCCGTGTGGCCGGCACAATGCAGTACAGTATGCCTGATGCATGCACACAGAGAACACCGGTGTTTTGTTGCTAATCTAATCATGTGAATAAAAATTATCAGCTTGCTTTTAGTATCTTGAGTAATGATATGTAGCGGCAGTTTAGAGAGTTTGTTTGTTTTTACCTGTGGCTTTAGAATGACCAGAATGTGTCCCTATTTCAGCCGCCCAATGTGATGTTTGGTAAGGCATTAAGAGTTAGCATTTGGGATGACAACATGCGCATCCACCTTCAAATGCTTTAGCCAGCAAGAAACTGCTGTGTGTTCTGGTGCTGCAAAGCACAATTAGATGTATTCCCATCAACTGTTCTATGGGAACAGCTGGCCATCTGTGATTGGCTGTATTCATTTCCTTGAGCTGTTGCAGTAAAAAATAAGGATGCAGTATGTCTTATTACTGCTAACCTTTAAAGCTGAACTCCAGGCATAGAAATATTCTTTAAATATATCTCTCATTAGCCACAAAGGATATAAAGCAGGGGTCTCCATACTCTCTAAACAAAGGGCCAGTTTACTATCCTTCAGACTTTAAAGGGGTCAGACTGTGGTCAATGGAAGTAGAAAATGCCCTGGTGTCCGTAACCATGCCCCATCATTGGTTTCCATGAGAAGAATAGTGCCCCATCATTGGTTTCCATGAGAAGAATAGTGCCCCATCATTGGTTTCCATGAGAAGAATAGTGCCCCATCATTGATTTCCATGAGAAGAATAGTGCCCCATCATGAGAAGAATAGTGGTTTCCATGAGAAGAATAGTGCCCCCCATTGGTTTGGAATAGTTTCCATCCATGAGAAGAAAGCCCCATCAATAGCGCCCCATCATTGGTTTCCATGAGAAGAATAGTGCCCCATCATTGGTTTCCATGAGAAGAATAGTGCCCCATCATTGGTTTCCATGAGAAGAATAGTGCCCCATCATTGGTTTCCATGAGAAGTTTGCCCCATCATTGGTTTCCATGAGAAGAATAGCGCCCCATCCATGGGTTTCTCGAGAGAAGAATAGCGCCCCCATTGGTTTCCATAGTGGTTTCATGAGAAGAATGCGAGAGGAATAGCGCCCCATCATGGGTTTCCATTGGTTTCCATGAGAAGAATAGTGCCCCATCATTGGTTTCCATGAGAAGAATAGTGCCCCCCATGGGTTTCCATGAGAAGAATAGTGCCCCATCATTGGTTTCCATGAGAAGAATAGCGCCCCATCATTGGTTTCCATGAGAGGAATAGTGCCCCATTTCCATGAGAAGAATAGTACCCCATCGTTGGTTTCCATGAGGAATAGCCCATCAATGAGAGAAGAATAGCGCCCCATCGTTGGCAGAGGAATAGCGCCCCACCATGGGTTTCCGCGAGAGGAATGCCCCACCCGAATAGCCCCACCATGGGTTTGCTAATGGGTCCGTGGGTTTCCCGAGAGGAATAGCGCCCCACCATAGTAGCGCCCCACCATCTGTTTCCCAAGGCCCCACCGTGTATAAGGAAAGTCCCCTAATGTCCGTGTATAGTGACCACTGATATAAAACCACTTTGTGTGCACCAATGACCTATGCAAACCCAATTAAGATTACCTTGTAAAGGTAGCAGTGACGTCACTGCTCTGTACATAGTCTGTGCAGAGAACAGAGCTATGGAAGGGCTCACGGAGGCTTCACCCACTACAGGCTGCCTGCAGGAAACTACTAGAGGGGGCAGAAACCAGACCAGTCACCTCGCACAAGGAGAGAGCAGCAGGGATCGGTCTTTATTACAGGAAGCTTGTGCACAGAGATGAAGTCTCACACTGGATTACTGCACAGATCTGGAAGAAATACACAAAACACACCAAGATTCAAGGAAGCATACACATGCGTTTTGTATTTAAAGTTGAACCCTGGAATAAACAAATATAATCTAAAGTTTATGTAAAGGCTTTTTTTTAAGTCTCGGATATAGTATGGAAAGGTTTGATCCCCTCTTGTCAGGTTTTTATTGCTGCTAGGGAGATTGACTTCTGTGTTTTATCTGCTAACTGTTGTGTCAATGTGCCAATTCACACTATATCCAGTACCAGATGTTTTACTGCATGGACACACAAGAAACCATTGTTTCCTATGTATTCCATTCACACTGCAATGCAGCCTAGCACTGGGCTTAAAAGCAGACCTGCTGCATTTTATCACAGCACACTGGCCCAAATCGTACTGCAATGTCAGGCACCACACCACCTAACATTGATGAAAATTAAGTGTACGCTTTGTACACTTCAATTAAAGCTAGTTCGAAACAAACAATAAAGGGGGGGCAGTGTGCTGAATCATGCACCACACTGCCCCCTAGGCAGCCGGCAACACAGAGCACCTGGAGCGCTAAATCGTTCTCGCTACTCTGAATTCTCAACTGACATGCCAGGTAGTAAGAAGTTCAACATTTTAAATCTGTCACCCCAGCAAGAAGTGAGGAAAATCCTTCAGCTGGAACACCTGTTCTCATGACAACTGTCTAAGATGGGAATCCTGTTTCCATCAGAAATTTCCTTTTAGGTATCCAGGGCAGGAAGTGAAGGGAAATTTCCCAAGCAAGAAACAAGCAACAACACATAAACCTTGAAGTGTTTTGACTATTCCTTCCTCTACCCAAAACGTAAAAAAAAAAGTTTTGACTTTGCATACACTTTAAAGTTTACGAAAGAAATAATAATCCTCTTTCCAACCTTGATGCATAAATCGTGACACAAATTCATTCAGAGGATTTATTTCTGAACTTGCCTTACTTTGATTTTTCTTTTATTGTGTAGGGCATTTGACAATGTATGTGACCAGTTTTGGGAGCAAATGAATGAGGCTATTCTACAGCATAGCACTACTCGGAGCAGCGAGAGACCTGGGTGAGACGCATGAATGATCACTGGCGTGGCGACCCTTTTTTTTAAAGACTCTAGTAGCCTACATGAGGTTATAATACTTTAGGGGCCCAATGTAAAGAAAAAATGTTATATTATGTATAAAATGCTGTTAGAGAAATTCATCTTTTGTAAGGTTTTCAGTTTGAAACAAAGAGTTTAACTTTAGTAATGACATTGATGTGGATTAAATAAACCTGAACTCCAGGAAGGTATCAAAGCTGAAGTTTGAACTGTTGATATTTTTCTTCTTTTTCCTGCTCATCAGCATGCTTATGACTTTAATAGTCTTTCCATTTTCAATAACTTTTTTGAGGCTAGGTTCTCTGTGATTCTCTATACAATACAGGGGTTTGACTGGTGGAGGGGTGTGGGAGGGGAGGGCAGTATGGTGTTGAATATAGCTTCCTGAGAACTTTACAGCATCCTGTCTCTGTACTCCTCTTAACCACTTCCCGATCGGCCGTTGCATATAAACGGCCGGACGGTGGTGCTGCAGGGTCGGGTGGCCGTTTCTAAACGGCCTCGCGCACCCTGCTTGTGCGCGCTCCCTGGGAGCACGCAGCACCGCGATCTGGTGCCCGCTGGACACAGTGAAACACCGATCGTCGGACGGGACCTCTGTACGAGGTCCCGATCGTGTGATCACTGATTGGCCAATCAGTGATCACATGCAAAGTAGTAAGCAAGATGTCACTTGTGACATCATTGCTTACTACGTGTGAAATCTGTGAATGATCACAGTGGTCACATGGTACGAGGCTATTCACAACAGCCTTGTACCATGTGACAAGCTATGACCAATTACAGATCACTCAGTACTTCTCAATGAGTGCAAGAATGCAGACAGAGAGAAGGAGAAATGATTGCTTTTACATCCTATATGGGTGTAAAAGCATTCAGTGTAAAAAAAAAATAAAAAAAATCATCATCGCCCCCCACAAGTAGTACAGTGTCACCATGGTGACACTGTACTGCTAGGGTGACAGTATGTAAAAAAAATATATATATATATATAAAAAAAAAATAAAAATGTAAAAAAATTTTTGAAAAATTATAATTTTTGGTGTTAAACTAATTTGGATTTTTTTTTTTTTTACTAAAAAGATAAAGGAATAAATTTTGGCCAATATTTATGATGAAATATTTATTTCCAAAATGTTATTTGAAAAAACTTTATTTTCAAAATTTTTGGACATTTCATTTACATAGCAAAAAAAATAAAAATCCCAGTGGTGAATAAATACCACCAAAATAAAGCTTTATCTGTCTCAAAAAAATGGTAAAAAATTCATTTGGCTACAGTGTTGCATGACCGAGCAATTGTCATTCAAAGTGTGATAGCACTGAAAGCTGAAAATTGCCCTGGACAGGAAGGGGGTAAAAGTGTCCGGACTGGAAGTGGTTAAGAGCTCTCAGCCCTTCTGCAAACACTGGCCTGGTTGAAAATGCCTTGATGGGTGGATAACAGTTTAGTGTAGTGGTTGTTCCTAGGCAGACTGCACCCGATGGTATACCGACATGTACTGAAATCCAATGAATGTAAGGGGTGGACCCGGAATAGTAAGTTATAATTTACATGCATTTTTTTTTTATTATTGGTCAGTTTTAAAGTGAACCTGTCACTTTTGTCAAGGAATTCAAGTTACAAGTTTGTCTGAGTACGGCAGGCGCCCTGAGTTGTTATTATTATACAGTATTTATAAAGCGCCAATAGTTTGCTCAGCGCTGTACATTACAAAGGGGGACAGAACATGTGACAGAACAATACCAATACAATGTGATACATGAGGGGTTCGAGGGCCCTGCTCTTTCAGCTTACAATCTAGGAGTTCAAGGTACTCCATAAGTACTGGTCACTTCCACATCAAGTCGAAGTTCTACCACATATTACTTGTATCCCTTGCACTGGAGGGGGGTGTGGCCGATTTCCTGGCTAACAAATCGGTATTTGCATTTTGACCTTCCTATGTGGTTATGGGGCTCACAAGGCACTCTGGAGACTAGACTCAAGTGATTGGCATACCGCCCAGCACGCACACTCCGCTCCTCACAAGACCTCCTTCTCTCTAGTTCCCTGGTCTCCTCCTCCCATGCCCGCCTCCAGGACTTCTCCAGGGTGTCACCCATCCTCTGGAACTCCCTGCCGCATCCCATCAAATTATCACCTACTCTCCTCTCCTTTGAAAACCCATCTCTTCAGGGAAGCCTACCCCACCCCCTGCTAACCTGCCGACCTCCTCTACTCTTCCTACCACTCCATCCCCCACAGCTATCTCCTCCTGTACCACTATCCCCTCCCTCCTAGATTGTAAGCTCCAAGGAGCAGGGCTCTCGATCCCCTCATGTTTTGCATTGTATTGGTATTGTTCTGTCACATGTTCTGTCCCCCTTTGTGATGTACAGCGCTGAGTGAACTATCAGCACTTTATAAATACTGTATAATAATAATAATAATACCATAGACCTGGAAGGAAACTGTTCACTTATGCAGAGAAACCGCAATATTTAACTTATTAAGGACTGTGCCTCCTATTCAGAATTTCTGCTTTCAGCAATGCTGTGGTCATTACAGTGCAATACATTGAAGTTGCACTCCCACAGGGTATTCGCTATCATACAGAATACACGTGTAACTGAAATTCTGACCTGATTTTTCTGTGCTGCAGTTAAAGTAACATTTTCAGGTCTGTTCCATGCTCCAGACTGTAAATCAGCAAACTGATGAACTCCCTGTCACTTTGCTCTCTCTTACTAACAGCATGCTCCTTGCACTTCAACACACCTGATGAGCTCTGTGTGCTTCTTCTGCCTCCCACACACTGTACAGGGATTGTAAGAGGCTGATCTTAATTTACATTTAGGTATTCACACAGCTTGCATTTAAAGAAAATACATTTAAGGATGTATTGACTACAGAGCTGTGTTAATTTGTCTTTTATATCTGCTTGGAGTTCAGCTTTACTGTATGATCTAGCTTGGGGTAAGATCCCGAAACGTTTTCTCAAATAAAAGTAAGCATATGATAAAAAGGATCATCTATACTTCTGTTAACGGAATAATAATCCCTCTGATTTAAATGCACCCAATAAACAAAGGGGCTGATAGTTTAAAGAGGATGAGCTCTGCGCTATACACGTGTTACATTTTACGCCTGTTCTTGTAGGACCAGCCGGGCCACGTGGCGTTCAGATCGCGATTTGGGTCTGATGAATGCTATTGGTCTCCAGCCGCGCAATCCTAGCACCTCGGTGACATCCCAGGGCACTCAGACCCCCGCCCCTCAGTTGCAGAATGCAGAGACTCAGACAGAACGGGAGGTACCAGAGACTCGACCTGCTGTCTCAGAAGGTAAGAGTTAAACTTCATATTGTCATCTACATCCTTAGTGACTCACTTATCTTCTGATTACACCCTCAGGCTGTACATTTTATATAAGCTTTCCTGTGCATCTTTTAGTGTTCAGGATAAAGAAAAAAAAAAATCACAGCCTGTTATCAAGATGAATTTAAACGGACTCTCAGTCTCCTAGGGTGATGTGAATAGGGAGTATCATCTTTAGCTCTAGATTTCTCCAGCCCTGTCTTCAACTTCTGAATGCTTACAAGATGTAGGTGTATTGTTTATTTTGCAGACTTTAGTGTGAAAGTTTTACTTTGAAAGAAAAATCCCTTCCTGATAATAGTATATCATGTGGTGAGTGGGCTGCCTGAGCCAAGAACACAGATACTGGGTTTTTTTTTTTTTTTTTTTTTTCTTTTCTTTTTTAAGCTAGTTTCTGGTCTGTGCTCTCTTAGAGACTTGTAATATGTTACTGGAAAGTAGCTGAAATGACTTTAATAGAACTGTGGCTATGGGCTTTCAAATATTGACATGTTCTCAAAAGGCAGTAAATAAGCTTTAAAACAAGCCCTCACTGACCACTGTAGCTGCAGGCTTTCTGGAGTAATTCATCCTCAAGTTTGGCAGCAGAAAGTACTTTGTTTCAGTTCAGCAGCTACCTTCATTCTGCAGCCCCTTCCCAGCAGTGACTTGGACAATTGTGTACACTGCAGGAGGTATGAGCAGAGCTGAAAGTGGATTGAAATGACTTCAGGTTTCTCTTGTGTCTTTGAAAATAAAGTTCTTCCACGGTGCCTACAGCCAAAAGAAAGGGTGCGAAATGCAGGCAAGGAGTGGTCTGTGCCCATATCCTGCACCGCATTCAAACGCACTGCCCTTGCAATCTGCATGTGGGTGTCCATGTAATGTTAAGGCACCCCAAATGCAGATCACAAATGCAGTGTGTTTGCACGCACCAAACTACATGCTACCACAGTATCATGTGATTTGGTGGAGCACATTATTAAAAGTAGTGCATGTATTACTTTTTCTGAGGGCCGGTGCAATTTGCAGCCTATTCAAAAGAATGGGTAAAAATTGCACCACATGGGATCACTCTGGTTCGATTTAAAGCATAATTTGTTAAACCATACATATATAACATTGTGGTAGTTCAACTATTTTAGCAATTTTTGAAAATATCATGACACAAGCTGTTTTTGTCCTTTAAGAGGGTGACTTCTATATTATTAATTATTGTGATTTTAAAGCTTACAATCCACTATTGGAACCAGTGTTAGCTTGCTGTGCCCCAAACTGTCGTCTCTACCACTTGTATGTGATCAAGGTGCAAGTTATCTCTTGATGGTTTTCTATGTTTGTCAGAACATGATGTTCCTCATTGTGATTGGTTGTCTGGGTGTTTGATTAGTTTTAAGGCATACAGTTCATGCATTGGCAATGATTTAACAAGAGATTCAAAAGAACACACTTTAGGTATACAGTCTTTGGACTGAAATTTGGTGCAGAAAGTCAACTCTGTGGAAGAGAAGAGGAAAGAGAGGATACAGGTACCAGACTTCATCAGAATTGACATTGGGGTGGTATGGATTACATGTGAGTCTATAACTATTAGGAGGTCTCTCGGTGAAAACTTTTATTGGGGCTCCATGATTTGGATAGTAGAATTGGGGTGGGTAGCTGACTTATTTTCATCTGATCATTCAACCGCTTGCAAAGTGATGCACAACAGTAGCAATTCTGTCATGCAAACCGTTAATTTAACTAGTTGCTGACCGCAGATAGCCAAATGACGGCAGCACTGTGAGCGGCCAGCTCTGGGAGGCCATCATATGACGTCCTCCCAGAACGTGATCTCCATGATCTCTGTGTCCAACGGGGACAGCTGATCACGTGATGTGGTAAAAGGCCAATCACAGCGGCCTTTTACCACATGATCAGCCGTGTCCAATGACATGCTGATCACCGGGAAATGCAATGGCTGGTTCTCAGCTGCACTTTCCGCACGCTGTCAGAGCATGAGGAAAGTACTGCCGAGGACCAGCAGTTGTCAGAGCAGGGATCGGCACCGATCATCAGGGCACTGATGATCGGTGCCCAGCAGTGCTGCCCACCTGTGCCCGTCAGTGCCGACTATCAGTATCCATCATCAGTGTTGCCTATCGGTGCCACCTCATTAGTGCCCATCAGTGCAGCCTCAACGCACATCAGTGAAGGAAAAAAATTAAATGTTTGAAAAATTGTAGAATAGAAACAAACTTTTGTTTTGTTTTTTTTTTTACTTTTTTTTTTTTGTTTATAGCGCAATAAGTAAAACACCCAGTGACAAGTACATACCACCAAAAGAGAGCTCTAGTTATGAGAAAAGATAAACATTTCATAGGGGTACAATGTTTCATTCAAAGTGCGACAGCGCTGAAAGCTGAAAATTGGCCTGGACAGGAAGGGGGTAGAAGTGCCAGGTAGGCAAATGGTTAAAATCCTTTTCTAAAGGAACACATGCTGCTGATGGGGCTTTGTGATATAAGTTGTACACGAGTGCATATAAACAGGTTTGTTTAGTAAGGGAGGGCAAAGCACAGTAAACCTATACCAATCCCGTTCCACTATAGTTAGTAAGATGCTAAGTGTAGGTAGAAACTGTTGAGGAGTTTTTGTACCTATTTCAGCTCTATATTCTGTGTCTGCTTTTAGTGTTACCATTTTTTCTGTTTTTCTTTTGTACCTGCAGGCTCTAGTGCCGAGCAAGCAGCACAACCTGGCAGCTCCACCAGTGAGGTGGGAAATAGAGTGGAGTCACAAGAAGGGAATGTGGAGTCTACGGAGAACCCCGGATCAGGTGAGGAAATGCTCACTTGTTTTCTCTATTCCTGAAATCCATACCTAAGTTTTAGTGACTCTTGCAGGATTTGGAATAGTTGTAAATTTTCTTGTATTGTTTGTACTGTGCAGTATATGAGGGATGATTTGCAAAACCTGGTGCAGCTACACGTGGTAGCCAATCAGCTTCTAACGTCAACTTGTTCAATTAAGCTTTGGCCAAAGAAACCTGGAAGCTGATTGGTTTCTGCGCAGAGCTGCACCAGATGACGCACACTCCAGTTTTAATAAACCAACGGTTATGTTTTATCGGGCAACTTTTATTATTCGGGGGGGGGGGGGGGGTTATTTAAAAAAAAAAAAGACTCAATGACCCACTTGGTCTTTTTTCTGCCATCACTTTTCTGTGTTTATATGCTAACTTCACAAGTTCGGATAGATCTGCCTCAAATCTTACACCACAATTGACAAACCTTTCCCAGAGATTTTTCCACCCTGCAGTGAAACCCCAGAGACGTGCAAGTCTTTTTGACGCCAAAGCTTGTCTGGAACAATTAATTGTTAATGCACTTAAAAATAAGCATTACAAACCGTGCTGAGCTGTGCTCTTAAAATCTAAAAACTCCAGCTTGGATGGAGCCCTCTAAAAGTTGTAATTGTTGAAACCCTGCTGAAGACTACTTTTAAAGGGTTCGTGTTCTGAAAAAATTAACAGGTGAACGTACACTGTTCACCTTCCCTACTGCCTCACCCGCCCGGATCTCCACTGTGCTTCTCTTTGTGGGTGATGAGCTGTCCGTGCCCATGCAGCCAGTGCAGTGCTCCAGAAATTTGAAAGAAGAGGGAGACTAGCAGGGATTTCAGTTCTTTAAATCCCTGGGCCACTGCACCAGCTGCATGGGTACTGACAGCTCATCACATATGGAGGGACATATAGCAGGGACCAAAGTGTGTTTGGGGAAAAAGCGGGGCGGGGGGGGGGGGGGGGGGGTTGGTGTACAGTGTTCACCTTTTTTTTTTTTTTTTTTTTTTTTTTTTTCTGAAAAAGGTGAATGTACACTGAGTAGCAGCGTGGCCTGGAGGTGACTGGGACTAGACATTAGCTTCCTATTTAGTGTACAGCCTGTCCCAGTTAAATGTCCAAACCATCTCACCATCCATGTGCTGTCATTGGAGGTAGATCCTGGATGCATGATCTGTGTGCTATTCCACATTGTCAAGTTTAAAACCACAAGTTGATCAGCACAGCTGCAGTAAAATATAGTCCTTAACTGTAATCCATTTGAAAACCATTCCTGGTGGGTTAAAAATAAAAACATGCTTTCCAGGATTGCACATTTCAACCCCTTGGCACATTATCAAGACCCGAGTGGCTGAAATGCTTTATCCCAGGAAGCGTATTGTTTGTACCTGCCTTGTAATGTTTTCAAATGGATTACAATGAGAGGTTTTGTTTTCTCTTCTGGCTGTGTTTGAACAACTTGAGGTTTATAGCATGTCCCAGCCTTGTCAAACCCTTCTTTACCATTGCCGTATTATGATATTGTTTAAGCTGTTGATTAGGTAACATGCAGTTTTCTGACTGCTCTAAATTGAGTACATCTAGATTAATGTTTCCACCTCCACCAGACTGATTTTTCTTTTAATGTATATCTAAAGCCAAAGCTCTTTCATTTTGGATAGAGTAAGGAAAGGTTAGGACCTGACTGTTTTTAATCCCAATAACACGAAATTAAAATACGGATCTTTTTGTCCCGCAAATACTTTTTAGTTTGATCAAAATAGTAATAGACTTTCAGAGGGCATAGCAAGCAATGGGAAATCTCTCCAAGAGGGACACCGCTTCAAAAACGTAGTAGTTAGGAAGAGGATTTTTTTTTTTTTTGTTTTTGTTTTTTTTTTTGTTTTTTTTTGTTGTTTTTTTTTGTTTTTTTTTGTCTCTTCCTAGCCCAGTGATAATCATTTCCCTTGTATCTTATGCTGGTATCAATGAAGTGATGGGTAATCTCCCCAGTGAAGAAAACATTTGCAAAATAAACCCAATAGAGGGTCTAACATCTCCCCGCTGTATTAAAAAGTGGTTGGGTTTTCTATTGCAGTATTGCCAGCTAACCATCTACCCACTGCCTATTGTATAAACATTTTAAGCTCATTCTGTTTGTGACGGACCGCCTGGCACCCAGTTTGGGTGTCTCTGCCAAACAAAGCCTCCTGCCCTCTAAACCCAACAGACTGACAGCTAATACCAGCCTTTTACCCCAAGCATCATACACAGACAAGATGTTGAGGTAAAAACCAAAAGCATAACTGAATGAACTGAAATGTAGGTTTTTATACACTTCAAAAATAGGGGCAGTCCCCACTTGAACAATTAAAAACAAATATTACACATCGGGGTACACATCTCACAATGGTTAGGTAACAAGCTAAAGTTGACATAAAACTAATCACATCCAGACAGAAATAATATATTTCTCAATTAACAATGGGAATTCACTCCTAGGAGGCACATAATGGGAGAAATTACTCAATGGGAGAAAGACACTTCACACCTAGACAGGATAGATAAACACAGGTACATATTAATACAATAAACACAGAACACCTTAAAGTGGTAAACTTTTTTAAATTTATTTTACCTACAGGTAAGCTTATAATAAAGCTTCCCTTTAAGTAAAATGAATACCTCCTAAACCTGCAGCGTTTAGGAGTTATTTTCTATTTCCTAAAGTTGGCGCATGCGCTCTGAAGGAATGTGTGCCATTCTTTCAGAGCTGTGTGCAATAGCCCAGGACTCCCGTGCGCATTCACCGGTGTGACGTCATCGTGGCCCGGCCTGTCAGACGGCCGGAGATCGCGAACCTGGAAGGACTGGATGAAGATGGAAGCCTCTGCAGCGGTGACAGCACGCCGCTGGAGGGCTTCGTTTTTAAGGCAAGTTTTACATAGTGTGCTAGCACATTATGACATTACCTTGCAGGGGACTTTTTTTACCTTTCTTGCGTTTTACTAGCTCTTTAATAAACCGATTGCATAAAAAAATAGGAGACCTCAGCATCAGGTTGGTTTGAGCTGAATATAATCTGCTTTGAGTCTAGGAGGGGGTTAAAGCAGTCAAGGCTGGTTTGAGCTGTTCATTCTATACCACAACGAAACAGAGGCCCCGAATCTGTATCCGGGTCCTCCAGTTCTCATAGTCTGTACGCAAGTCCATGACTCCCCAAAAAACACAAAGTAAAGCTACTCCAAAGGTCCCCCAGGCACACACCTACCAAAGAATAAAGCCCCCTCAAACACCAGGGCCTATGGTCAGAAGGCAAGAGGCTAGCCTGAAGTTCCCTCCAAAAGCCCCTGTCCCGGTTGGGTCTGTCACACTGTTTATATTAGGAATTACTGGTTCCTTATTAAATGTCACCTGTCTGTAGAACTAGACTTGGCACACACCTCATTGTTCCCAATTGGGGCAACAGTGTTATGTGCAGCAGCCAAAGGAAGATCATTGCTTGGATTTAAACACTAGCTCCTCTTTGTCCTGTATATGACCTTGTACATACAGACTTCAGTGTATATATGAACAGTACAGTGAGCATTTACAAAGCTTCAGGAGACTGTTAAAGCTTTTAAAAGAAACCATGGCAGAGAAACCATTGTGTCCCATTTGCGGAGATTTCCCTACATTTCCTGTCCCTTCTCCAAAAAAGGAAGTGAGAGGAAATGCATCCAATTGAGGGAATCCCAGGGGGTCACAGAACTACCGTTCCCATTAACATATCCCCTGTATATTTGCTCTGCTCTCAACCAAAAATTTTGAATTCTTTTACTTTTGATTATTATTATTATACAGTATTTATATAGCACCAATAGTTTGCTCAGTGCTGTACATTATAATGGGAGACAGTACAGTAACAATACGATTCAATACACGAGGGGTTCGAGGGCCCTGCTCCTTGGAGCTTACAATCTAGGAGGGAGGGGATAGTGGTACAGGAGGAAATAGCTGTGGGGGATGGAGTGGTAGGAAGAGTGGAGGAGATCGGCTGTTAAGTGAGGGTGGGGTAGGCTTCCCTGAAGAGATGGGTTTTCAGAATGCGCCTAAAGGTGAGGAGAGTAGGTGATAGTCTGATGGATTGGGGTAGGGAGTTCCAGAGGATAGGGGAAGCCCTGGAGAAGTCCTGGAGTCGGGCATGGGAGGAGGAGACCAGGGAACTAGAAAGTAGGAGGTCTTGTGAGGAGCGGAGATTTCGTTTTGGGTGGAATTTGGTTACCAGATTGGTGATGTAGTTTGGGGCAGTGTTATGAACAGCTTTGTACGTCAATGTTAGTATTTTGATTTTTTTATCCGTTGGGCAATCGGAAGCCAGTGGAGGGATACAACAGTAAACAGGACAAAAAGGGTGAATCTCCGTAATGGGGGGCACAGACCGTAATGAACCTGACACGAGAATACTAATTCCTCTCCACTGTCCAAAACTAAAAAAAAAAAAAAAAAAAAAAGGTTTTCCTTTAGTGACACTTTAATATCGAGTTAACATCTCCAAAACGGAAGGTAGCTTTAAAATCTTCAGCAAAGCTGCTAAAAGCAGACTAGAGGCTTTGTAAATGCTTGCTGTACACTCTGGTCATTCAAACTAAAGCCTGCCTGTACAAGTGGAAGTCACACCTAAATCTCTTTTTCTAGTTTTGAATAGAGTGGGGAAGGATGTGAACTTTTGTTGGGTATTTATTGCTATCTGGGGTTCTGTTGCCCTTCATTAGCTTGACTTTCTTGCATTTATTTGAATAAACATTGGAGATAATCTGGGAATTATAACCAAACTTTTCTATTTTTGATGATTTCTTTTTTTTTTTTTTTCTAAAGAGGGTTAAACCAAAATGCACCTAAACACAGGTTAATGCAAGGTGTGAATAACACTTAAAATAATGGCATGCATTTACTTCCATTTAAAAATGTCCTATAAATACATAAAATCGCATTGCCTGTGTTAGTGTGGCCTTATGCAGGCCGTACATGGTTCGAATTACCAACGCTTTTTCGTCCGAAAATCAAAATGTCGTTTGTTCTGTAATCTGATGGTGCCACCAATGGTTTAGAAAATGATTTTTACAAATTTTCCAGCATGCCCGATAAACGAAATGGGCCGATGCCATTGCCCCACTAACAGAGCAAAAATCGGCCGATTATTCTTGGGTCCGATTTTCGTACGAAAATCGTTCAGAATTCGAACCATGTATGGCCTGCATTAGAGAGATTTTCCTGTACATCCTGCCTTGCTGACAATTTACCCAGACAGGAAGTGAGGAACAAAATGACAATATAGATGCAGACAGAGGTAAATGATGGGTTCTAGCCTTCCCCCTGCTTTAATAACAAGAACATTTTTAATTAATATATAAAGTATGGGGTTGATTTACTAAGACTGGAGAGTGCAAAATCAGGTGCCGCTTTCCATAGAAACCAATCCACTTCCAGGTTTGTTTGTTTTTTTTTGGTTAAAGCGGTTAACCACTTTCTGTCCGGACACTTTCACCCCCTTCCTGTCCAGGCCAATTTTCAGCTTTCAGCGCTATCACACTTTGACGATTGCGTGGTCATGCAACACTGTACCCATATGAATTTTTTAGCATTTTTTTGAGACCGATAAAACTTTATTTGGGGGTATTTATTCACCACTGGGATTTTTTTTTATTTTTTTTTTTGCTATATAAATGAAAAAGTCCAAACATTTTGAAAAAAAGTGTTTTTCTTATAAAATTTTGCAAATAAATCTTTCTTCATAACATTTATTCATTTATGTTTTTAGTAAAAAAAAAAAAAAAACAAATTGGTTTATAACCACAAATTATAATTGTTGAGAATTTTTTTTCATTTTTATTTTTGTATTTTTTTCAACATACTGTCACCCTAGCAGTACAGTGTCACTATACTACTTGTGGGGGTGATGGTTTTTTTTTTTTTTTTTGTTTTTTTTTTTTTTTACACTGATTGCTTTTACACCCATAAAGGCTGTAGAAGCAATCATTTCTCCTTCTGTCTGGCTGCATTCTTGCAGCCATTGAGAAATACTGTGTGAGCTATGATTGGTCACAGTTTGTCACAGCTTGAAAAAAGTGTTTTTTTTTTAATAAAATTTTGCAAATAATCTTTCTTCATAAATCTTGGACAAAATGTATTCATCTATCTTTTTAGTACAAAAAAACCCAAATTGGTTTATAACCAAAAATTATAATTTAAAACTTTTTACATTTTTATTTTATTTTTTAATATTATTATATTTTTTTTTACATACTGTTACCCTAGCAGTACAGTGTCACCATAGTACTACTTCTGGGGGGTGATGACAATTTTTAAATTTTTTTTTTTACACTGATTGCTTTTACACCCATAAAGGCTGTAAAAGCAATCATTTCTCCTTCTCTCTGACTGCATTCTTGCAGCCATTGAGAAATACTGTGTGAGCTGTGATTGGTCTCAGCTTGTCACATGGTACAAGGCTGTTGTGAATAGCCTCGTACCATGTGACCTCTGTGATCATTCACAGATTTCACACGTAGTAAGCAATGATGTCAGCAAGTGCCATCTTGCTTACATCTATTCATGTGATCACTAATCGGCCAATCAGGGATCACATGATCGGGACCTCACACAGAGGTCCCGTACAGCGACCGGAGGACACAGCGGGCACTGGATCACGGCCTGGGAGTGCGCACAATACAAAATGATGGGCTCCATTTATGAATGGCAACCCACCCCTGCACTGCCACCGTCCGGCCATTTTTATATACAGCGGCCAGACGGGAAGTGTTTAATTGAAGCTGAAGTTAGAAACTGGCTACCATGTACAGATGCACCAGATTTTGCATTCTTCAGAGTTTTTTAGTAAATCGATCCCTATGTGTTGCTGTTGGAAAGTTCCCTTTTTTTCCTGTGTAGTGAACTTGAGCTGGACAGGAAGTGTGAGGAAACCTATCAATGCAGTAAAACCTGATACAGGGGTCCTAAACCTTCCCCACAGCTAAGAGTAACGGTTTGGCTGGACATCCTTTTATTGTACAGAGCTATCTTGTTTTGTTACTGTACTGTCATATTGTGGTTTGTTTTTTATCACTGCTTCTGGGTGGGTACCTTCCCAAAACGTGCTGTTTTTTGTAGCTGACCTCTTATACTGGACTTGTTTATGCTTCTCTCTCTATTATACCACAGTCCTTCGCTTCCCTCATACTCTGCCCCTTCATGTCCGACAGGCGAGGGACAGGAGGACGCTCTGAGCAGAATCCAGCGACTTATGGCAGAAGGAGGGATGACCGCAGTGGTTCAGAGGGAGCAGAGCACAACCATGGCATCGATGGGGGGATTCGGCAACAACATCATCGTGAGCCACCGAATCCACCGCAGCTCCCAGACGGCAACAGATTCTGCCTCGCGCGCCTCCACCCCGCACTCTGCACAACCCTCCACATCTAGAGAGACCGTAGCAGAACTGGAAAGGCGCCTTTCTCCACTTCAGCCAAGCCGTTCCATACTGCCAGAGCCAGTGCCGTTGACCAATAACAACGGTGACCTTAATGCGCGGCCTCCGAACAGCGGCAACTTTCCAGGCGTGGAGAGGTAGAAACGTGAAGCCGCCAAGTTGGTACTGCTGTAAGGACAGATTTCCCCCTTCCCCCACCTTTCGTTTACGGTGGGGGGCTTTCGAGCTGTGGATTATGGTGCTATAGACTTTCAGTGAAATTTTATTTGATAGCTGACCCTCCACCAGTGTGGGGAGGGGAGGTGCAGAGAAGTGTAAAATCGCAGCTGACTTGTATCACATTACCCCCTTCTCTTCCCATTCTACTTTGTATAGCAAAGAATCATCCCCCCCCCCCCCCCCCCCCATCACCCTTTAAAAAAGGGTTTGAGGTTCATACTCTTCCCTTGGCTCCCTTGAAGGTGACCTAAAGAAGAGTCCTATCCATTAGAAATCCCTGTTCCGATTTACATTTTTATTTTTTGTTTTTGTTTTTTTTGTTTTTTTATTTCCAAAGCTATATATTGGTCATGGCGGGGAAAACTAGCACTAACCTTCCCCGTCAAGTGCAAGGAGCTGCTATAAGACTGTTACTGCCCTTCTTGCTTTGACTGAAGTTCAAGGAGGGATGCATGCACTACAGGGAAGGGCGAGGCCTTTAAGCCGCCTCTCCTCCACGCCAGGCTTGCGTGTCCGGGTGTTCTGCACCTCCATTCAGACTCGGCGATGCCCGCTGACGATCAGTTATCTCCTCCACATGCACACAGAGTGGCATCTGTTTTCAGTATAGACAGTCATTCTCCTGCAGTGGTCACAATCCCATAATAAGCCCCATTCACCACAATGGTTTGCCCGATTGCCAAACAGTTCCAGAAAAATGCTGCGGTTACAGTTTTCAGATGTGCTTTCTTTTTTTTTTTTCTTAACTTTTTTTTTTTTTTTGCAAATGTGTGGCCTGTGCTTCTTTGCAGGTCTAAAACTTTTTTTTTTTTTTCCTGCCCTCTCCGTCTACAATGTGTGTTTGATTCTGATGGATAAATGTCCCCCCACTTTGTGTGAATACGTCACCCCAGATCCTTGTCAGAGGCCAGTAGCACAGCTCCCGCGTTAACCTTTACCTTGCCAGACCAATCAGCAGCTTACCAGAGACCCACACAGCAACATGCCAGCAGCTGCATCTGTTAACCAGTTGTTCCTCTTAATCTATGATGTTTGAGCTTTTCTGGATGTATGCACCCACTAACGCACACTTGGCACAGTCTTGGAGATCTTAATAGATGTTGGCAGTATTAACCGTAAATGTTACAGGAGGGGCTAGGTTTTTAATGAAAGCTCTTGCATGTGAACTACAAATAGCATTTTTTTTTTTTTAAATTAAATACAATGAGATCTGCTGATGTTAACCCCAAATTTCCAGCTGTGCAGATTTTAACTCCTCATTCTACCTGCAGTAACTCACCAGGGTGATACAGGGGGCGCCAGTGAGCAGCTGCATACTGGCAGGAAGGATGCAGAATCCAAAGTAGTTGCTGGACTGGGCTGTTCTGGTTTTGTTTTTTTTGGGGGGTTTTTTTTTACTCTTATGAAAGCTCCTCCCCCCTTTCAGTGTTTACAGCAGCACCACTGAACCCCGTCTACAGTAACCGCCAATGCCTGTAAACCATACTGCAGAGCATTGCTCTAGTAATGGCTTTATTGCTAGTGTCTATCGTAGAGCCTTGCTTTTAACCCTCTGCTGTTCCATTAATCTCAGCGGCTGAGCATTGCTCCAGTGTACTATGTAGCAGTGAGTACTGGAAGGTTTTCACATGACTGTTGTTTACCCTTTCCTCCTGTCATTCAAACCTGCAGAGCATCACTCCAGTGCCCCGCTGTAACATTGTAAGACTTGCAGAGCATTGCTCCAGTAAACCGTAATGCTTGGTTGGTTTGCTCTTATGTGTAACATTTTTTTTTTTTTTCTTTTGTTCTGTTGTTTTTTTTTTCAAGGTGCTGTGCAAAAAGCATCATTCCAATAACGCATTGTGACCTTTAGGGCATGACTCAATTCATGTAACAATTGTTGAATCTGCAGAGCATTGCGCCAGTAAAACCCTGTGACACCAGCTAAGATTCTCTTGTTTGATTTCTGTTTGCTAAGAACATTCACTCGGGTCAGTGTGGGGTGTGCCTAAGGGGAACTCCTAAAAACCCTCTACAAATACAGGTTCGGCATTACCGGTTCACTTGGGGCCTGTGTTCACTGTGCCCACTTGAGAATTCCTTGACAGGTGCATTGGATCTGCAGTTGGTCACCTTCTGATTATTACTATTATACAGGATTTATAGAGCGCCAATAGTTTGCTCAGCGCTTTACAATATAATATGAGAGAGTACAGTAACAATACGATTCAATACAAAAGGGGTTTGAGGGCCCTGCTCCTTGGAGCTTACACTCTAGGAGGGAGGGGATAGTGGTACAGGAGGAGATAGCTGTGGGGGATGGAGTGGTAGGAAGAGTGGAGGAGATCAGCAATTAGGTGAGGGCGGGGTAGGCTTCCCTGAAGAGATAGGTTTTCAGGGTGCACCTAAAGGTGAGGAGAGTAAGGTGATAGTCTGATGGATTGGGGGAGGGAGTTCCAGAGGATGGGGGAAGCCCTGGAGAAGTCCTGTATACGGGCATGGGAGGAGGAGACCAGGGAACTAGAGAGTAGGAGTTCTTGTGAGGAGCGAAGAGTACGTGTTGGGTGGTATTTGGATACCAGATCGGTGATGTAGTTTGGGGCAGTGTTATGAACAGCTTATACGTCAATGTTAGCATTTTGAATTTAGATCTGCGGCAGACTTGCTTCAAGTGGGTTTTGGTTACTCGTAGACTTTCATTGGTATGCAAAACCTTTCTGAAATTAACAAAAGCCCATTGACACAGGCCCTTATGATTCCAAAAATAAAAAAGAACACACTAGGATTTATTTAGGTTTTGAGATGAGTGGGTGGAGTCATGCAGAACGGCAATTTAGCTTGTGGAACCCATCTCGGAATTTGTTTTTTTTTTTTAACATGTACAGTTGTGTTCAAAATAATAGCAGTCAGACATCACTAACCTGATCAATCACTGTTTTTGGTAGAAATGATATTTCTACATGGCAAATAATTTACTATTAGGTGTAGTAGAGTAATAGAAAGCCAACAGACCCAACAGTCATGACATGCATGCTGCTGATTCTGTGTAATTGAATCACTAATTGAAAGGGGCGTGTTCAAAATAATAGCAGTGTGGAGTTCTATTAGTGAGGTCATTCATTCTTTGAAAACAGGTGGCAATTATTGCCCTTATTTAAGGAAGGAAGGCAGCAAATGTTGTACATGCTGGTTACAGTGCATTTCTCTCTGAAATTCTGAGGAAAATGGGTCGTTCCAGACATTGTTCAGAAGAACAACGTACCTTGATTAAAAAGTTGATTGGAGAGGGGGAAACATATAAAGAAGTGCAGAAAATGATAGGCTGCTCAGCTAAAATGATCGCAAATGCTTTAGAATGGCAACCAAAACCTGAAAGACGTGGAAGAAAGCAAAAAACTACCATTCGAATGGATAGAAGAATAGCCAAAATGGCAACGACTCAGCCAACAATCAGCTCAAGGAAGATGAAAGAAGGTGTGACGTTCCCTGTGAGTACTGTTACAATTAGAAGACGCCTATGTGAAGCCAAGCTATCTGCAAGAAGCCCCCGCAAAGTCCCACTGTTGAAAAAAAGACATGTGCTGAAGAGGTTACAATTTGCCAAAGAGAAATGGCGCAACATTTTGTGGACTGATGAAAGTAAGATTGTTCTTTTTGGGTCTAGTGGCCGGAGACAGTTTGTCAGACGACCCCCAAACACTGAATTCAAGCCACAGTACACTGTGAAGACAGTGAAGCATGGTGGTGCAAGCATCATAATATGGGGATGTTTCTCATACTACGGTGTTGGGCCTATTTATCGCATACCAGGGATCATGGATCAGTTTGAATACATCGGAATACTTGAAGAGGTCATGCTGCCTTATGCTGAAGAGGAAATGCCCTTGAAATGGGTGTTCCAACAAGACAACGACCCCAAACACACCAGTAATTGTGCAACATCTTGGTTCCAGACCAACAAGATTGACGTTATGGAGTGGCCAGCCCAATCCCCGGATCTTAATCCAATAGAAAACTTGTGTGGGGTGACATCAAAAATGCAGTTTCTGAGGCAAAACCAAGAAATAGAGAAGAACTGTGGAATGTCGTCCAATCATCCTGAGCTGGAATACCTGATCACAGGGGCCAGAAGTTGGGTGACTCCATGCAACACAGATGTACAGCACTGACTGGCACAACCCCTGGGCACTGACTGGTGGCACTGACTGGCAGCACTGCTGGGCTGCACAGGTGGGTGGGCACAGGTGGGTGGCACAGGTGGGTGGCACTGCTGGGGCACAGGTGTGTGACACTGCAGAGTGGCACAGGTGGGTGCACTGCTGGGCACAGGTGGGTGCACTGCTGGGCACAGGTGGGCGGAACTTGCGGGTGGCACTGCTGGACACCGATCATCAGGGCACTGATCATCAGTGCCCTGATGATCGGTGCCGATCCCCGCTCTGACAACTGCCGGTTCTCTGCAGTACTTTCCTCACGATCTGACAGCGTGAGGAAAGTGCAGCCGAGAACCGGCACTTGCATTTCCCTCTGATCAGCGTGTCATTGGACACCGCTGATCACGTGGTAAAAGGCCGCTGTGATTGGCCTTTTACCACATCACGTGATCAGCTGTGTCCGTAGGACACAGCGATCACGGAGATCGCCGGGTGCGCGCCCCCTGGGGCGCGCAGGAGAGCGCGTTCCGGGAGGACGTCATATGACGTCCACTCAGGACTGGCCGGCCGCAGTGCAGCTGTCATTCGGCTATCTGCGGTCGGCAGGTAGTTAAGTGATTCAAAGGAAAGCAAAATCTTCAAACATTTTTCAGTTTATATAGTGAATGTTTGAGTTTGTAAAGAAGAATACAAACACTGCTATTTTTTTGAACAGTCTAATATTTACTTTTCTTCAATTTTTTTAGAGGATCAACACAAATTTGATATATTTTTCTTCATGTGTTG